AAGAAGCAGGCAGAACAGTTACTGGAGTTTACTCAGGACCATGAACAATTTATGTTCCCAACAGCCACAGGTAATGCAAAAGGATTCACCCACTTTGGAAAACAAATAAAGGAATTTCCTTCCCCCCCGCCCCATTACATTGAGGATACTGTTGCGCTACATTCTAGCTTCCTGTGTTGGTTCCATAAGTCACCTACTAGTGTGATAACCAGTCCTATGAAGGAAATCTGCTTTACCTGGTTATTTTATTTTATTTTTTTTTAAGATTTTATTTATTTATTTGACAGACAGAGATCACAGGTAGGCAGAGAGGAAAGCAGAGAGAGAGGAGGAAGCAGGCTCCCTGCTGAGCAGAGAGCCCGATGCGGGGCTCGATCCCAGGGTCCTGGGATCATGACCTGAGCCGAAGGCAGAGGCTTTAACCCACTGAGCCACCCAGGCGCCCCTACCTGGTTATTTTAAAGACCATTTTAAATTTGTTCATCTGTTCTACCTAGATGTAGATCTCTTATATACCCCCCTTGAGGATTCATTATAATTAAGTGTATAGATCTGTGGGACACCTGGGTGGCTCAGTCGGTTAAGTGTCTACCTTCAGGTCAGGTCAGTCATGATCCCAGGGTCCTGGGATTGAGCCTTGCACTGGGTTCCCTGCTCAGCGGAGAGCCTGTTTCTCCTTCTGTCTGCCACTCTTCTTGTGCTCTCTCTGTCAAAAAAATAAAAATAAAATCTTTAAAAAAAAAAAAAAGGTATATGGATTTGTGGGGGTTTTTTCTCAGTTCCGAGTCCTGGCCCTTTACGTGTCTATTCACACCTACTCCCATCCCCCTTCTCTTCTCTTTCTGGGACTTTTTCAATTTTAGTGGTTCTGTTTAGTACTTTTTCAAATCTTTGATCTTTTTATTTATTTGTTTATTTATTTTTTAAGATTTTATTTATTTATTTGACAGAGATCGCAGAGAGAGAGAGAGAGAGAGAGGAGGAGGAGGCAGACTCCCCACTGAGCAGAGAGCCTGATGCAGGGCTCGATCCCAGGACCCTGGGATCATGACCTGAGCTGAAGGCAGAGGCTTTAACCCACTGAGCCACCCAGGCGCCCCTCTTTGGTCTTTTTAAAAGTATTTTTTTCCTCTTGTACATATTTGTATCGTGTTTTATAAGCTTTGATCTTTGATCTTTGATAATGGCATTATTAGAAGTCCTTAGTTACTTTTTCTTTTGACAGTTGTTTCTTTCATGATACCTCTCATTGCCTTGTGTGTTTAGTTTTTTTAGTACATTTAATGTTTTTCATTGTCTTCATTTACTGTTCACTGTCCTTAGAATTTTTTCTGTGGAAGTTCTTTGAGTTCCAAAATGAAGGTGGGCAGGGGTGGGGGGAGGGGTAATCCAGAAAAGATTTTATATTTGTGTATGCTAAGTACCTGGGAGCATTGCCAGTATTACATCACTTTAAATTAAATTCTCAGTTTGAGGTTTTTAAACATCCAGACATTGTTGCTTTTTCTTTTCTCTACTTTTCAAATTCCAACTTCTTTTATTAGGAAAAAGGAAAACTGTATTTTTAACCTGGGAAATAATTCATAAATTTGCTGTTTTTAAAATAATATAAAGTCTGTAATTTATTTAGCTATATCATTTATTTGGATTTTATTCTTTGATAGTACTAATATAATTATTTCAGTGGAACTATACTTACTTAAATAGTAATAACTTTAGTTATATCATCACCCACACTCCTTTACTCATGAAATGTAGAGTGGAATAAATAATTGCAAATATTGGATAAGTAAATGGACATAATAATATTTCTGCAAATCACATACATTCATCCATCATATCCATTGTGCAATTCCGGTTATATCTGTTAGAACATTTTTAGTTGTAAATGATAAATACCAACTCAGAGTAGCTTTATCAAAAAATACTTTATTGACTCAATGTGACTGAATAGTCCTGGCTTCTGACACAGCTAGACTTAGTGTTGAAATGGTATAATCAGGAGTTGGTTTCCATCTCTCTGATTCTCCCCTTTCAGAGTCAAAGAGAACTATCAAAAACTCCAGGTTACTGATCACAGTAGAAGGATAGTGCCTGTTTCCCAATAACTCTAGCAAAAATTCCAGGTTTAAAGTCTCATTGGCCTGGCTTGGATAATGTGTTTATTTCTCAATCAGTCATTGTGTTCAGGGTGCTTAATTCTTGCCTCAAATTCAAGTGAGAGCCAATTTACAGTTCTGAGATTTGATTTTCCTTGCAGTTGCCAGGATGTTGATAATGGCTAGAGGTGGGGGTACAGAAAAAAGATTGGGTACTGGGTTTATTTCAAGCTTTATGGTAAATTTAATCCCTGAGAGTCCAGACTTTTTGAAAGAAGGAAACTTCTGTTGGATTCCCTCCCTTGAGCAGAATTTGGGCTTTATTTCTTAACTCCAGGATCCTAGTGAAATATAGTTAGAAAAAAACAAAACAAAACAAAGGAAAAGAAAAAAGCTTGAGTTTAGTTCACTTGCTAGTGCCTTCCATGGATAGAGAAGTCTACATTGTTTTTTGGGGTTATTTTTGGAGGGGGTCATTTTTTTGTTTTTTGTTTTTGTTTTTTGCTTTTGGTTGTTGTTTTGGTTGGTTGGTGGTGGTGGTTGTTGTTTTCCTCCATTTTATTTTATTTTATTTCTTTTCAGTGTTCCAGCATTCATTGTTTATGTACCACACCCAGTGCTCCATGCAATATGTGCCCTCCATAATAACCACCACCAAGGCTCACCTAACCCCCTTACCCCCCTCCCCTCTAAAACCCTCAGTTTGTTTCTCAGAGTCCACAGTCTCTCATGGTTTGTCTCCCGCTCCGATTTCCCCCAAATCACTTTCCCTCTCCATCTGCCAATGTCCTCCGCAGTTACTCCTTATGCTCCACAAGTAAGTGAAACCATCTGATGATTGACTCTGCTTGGGGAAGTCTACATTGTTATTCTAACTTTAACCTTAGGAGAGTAGGATAGAAGATCTCTCCTTATGTTACCACATGAAATCAAGGCTGAAAAACATTTTGGAAAACAGCTGCATTTTACTACAGTGAAGGCTTACATTCTAAAGACGTAGATATATTCAGAAATTAAAATACTAGAACATCTAAAAATTATAAGATGATAGTTAAAGAACCATGTTAATGACTCAGAACTTTGTTGAAACTTCTATCAACAAATATGTGAACATGCAAATGCTATGTAACTCATTTCTTAATGCATTAGAAGTTGAATAGATGTTTATTAGACTTTTTAAATTTGGATATTATAGATCACTCATTTGTATGTTTATTATGATTCATTAAAGATGATAAGTAATTTTGCGTAATTTTATATTTTTACATTTAAAATTTCAAAAGCTGCAAGAGTGAGATGCAATATTATATTTAAGAATATAAACATTTTAATCCCATCTAGAAGTAGACTGAGATAAAGCATCTTTCTCTTGGCAGTGAGACCACTTTGTTTTGGAATGTAAGCTTCAAGAGGACAGTGACCGTGTGTTTTGTACAACTGTGTATATTGTGTAACTAGCGCAATATATTACTGTTAAGTCGATACATTTTTGTTGTAGTTATATATGAAAACTGTTTCCAACAGTGCATGTCAATTTTAAAGTGTTTAATTATTCAGTGTTACTATTATATTTGGCATTTTCTAAGTGGGCTTGATTAATAAATAACCAAAATCCATAGGGAGTAAAATGATTATCTGGAGGAAGTTTTTAAATGATAAGGAAATCTTAACTTTTCTATCAGATTCTGATATGGATATGAAAACAGCTCAGAAATGAAGTTCCAGGGCGCCTGGGTGGCTCAGTGGGTTAAGCCTCTGCCTTCAGCTCAGGTCATGGTCGGTCTCAGGGTCCTGGGATCGAGGCCCACATCCTGCTCTCTGCTCGGCGGGGAGCCTGCTTCCTCCTCTCTCTCTGCCTGCCTCTCTGCCTACTTGGTGATCTTTCTCTCTCTGTCAAATAAATAAATAAAATTGTCAAAAAAAAATGAAGTTCCATTTATCACAATCACATCTATTAAAAACTTCCATGAGTACAAGACTAGTATTACTAATGATGAATTTAGCATGTGATATTGAAAGTTTTCAAAGGACTCTACCAAGTGCAAGCTCTTGTGCATCCCCTCTACCCCCATTTATTTGCCTTAAACTTTAGAAGGGGAATGAGTCTCAATGTAACGATTGCATTGCCCCTATTTAATTGGCAGTGCCAGACCATAGCTAATAAAATAGGCCAACAGAGTGTGTATCTGGAGTATGCATGTTTTTTTAAAAGAAGACCGTTTGGAAATGCTTTGTGAACACCAACAATCTAGAGCTGGCAACAGCCCTGCACATTGCTAAATTATTTTTGAGAATATCTACTGTTAATACAGTAGAGAATTGAATCCCATGGCAGAGTTGGTAATTTACAAAATTACTAGCAGTGTTTATACTAAGACAATTTGGCATACACTTATTTAATTCCTCCTTGAAAATTTGCAAAGCAACCCTGAAATTAGATAGCATTTTCTAATTTTGCTAAGTCATAATCCATGAAAAGGGGTGTTTTGTGAGGCTCTTGCACTAAGTCACCTATCCGTGAAGAGGCCATATCATCACTTCAAGTGATGTTTTGATTTATAATAAAATTTCTTTCTACTAGCATTTGAAAAATCAAGGATTAGTATGGTCTTTTATGTAACATTGGAAAATGCTAAGTGCTAGATGAATGAATATAAATTGTGTGTGCCTGTGTGTGAGAGACACAGATACAGACATATACAGCAATTTATGGCCTATGTGAGCTGAGTACTCTCGTGGAAAGGAAAGATTATACTCTCCATACATTGTGATCTGTACATGCAGAGCAGGTTCATTAAAAAAAAAAAAAAAAGGTTTGGTTTAAAATTTTCAATATAATGTATTTTCCTTTTTGCATCACATTGAAACATTTGACCTTTTCTCATCTCTGTTTTTTCAAAGATTTGTTCCATCAGATGAAAAGAAGAAACAAGGCTGCCAACGAGAAAATGAAACTTTAATACAGAGAAGAAAAGATCAGATGCAACCAGGGGGCACTGCAATTAGTGTCACAGTTCCTTATAGAGTAGTAGACCAGCCCCTTAAACTTATGCCTCAAGACTGGTAAGATGATCTATACTTTTATTGTAGTCCTTGATCTTTTTTGTATAATTAAAAAGTATCAAATTTTGTCATGAGTTCTAAATAGAGAAACTATCCCTAAAAACCGTGTTAATGTCTAAGTTGGTCATTAATAATGTTCACATTTTAATAATACCTAAATAAAAATGTATTTTGGATAGCTAAACTTTATTTTTTACTTAAAAGAAACACTAACTTCAGGGGTCCTGGGTGGCTCAGTTGGTTAAGCATCTGACTTCAGCTTGGGTTATGATCTCAGGGTCCTGGGATTGGGTCCTTGTCAGGCTCCCCACTCAGTGAGAAGTCTGCTTGTCCCTTTGCTTCTTCCCTACCACTTGTGTGCCCTCACTAACTTCTGGAAAATTTAGTAAAAATTCTTTTTACTGTTTATTTTTTCTGAGTCAATCTTTTGAGCAAAATTTCCGAATAGACTAATGTTGTTTCAAGAGCTATAGTTTCAGATTTTTGATTTGGAGAATTCACATTTTTGGGTAAGAAATGATAAATGAAAGAATTGTTACTTTTATTGTAGGGAATAATTTAATGAAAAGAATAACATGATTACTCTGGTTTAGCTCTTTGATTGCATTAAATTGTCCTTTAAAGAATATTAAACTATTTATAATAGAGTGCCTATAAACTCAGATATGTGAATTATCTTAAATTTTTTATTAATCTAAGCTGGAATAAAAATATAGAGTTTGAGAGTGCATCTCTGTGACATAGAGAATACAACACATTGATGAATTATCTGGTTTACCTTTGAAGTACTCATTAGTCTTCACACATTAGGAAGTCAGGGCATTCAGAGTATAAATATGTTAAAAATTTAAAAATTAAAAAAAATTTAAAAATTTATGTTAAAAATTTAGCCACCTGGGTGGCTCAGTTGGTTAAGCAACTGCCTTCGGCTCAGGTCATGATCCTGGAGTCCCTGGATGGAGTCCCGCATCAGGCTCCCAGCTCCACGGGGAGTCTGCTTCTCCCTCTGACCTTCTCCCCTCTCATGCTCTCTCTCTCTCTCTCTCTCAAATAAATAAATAAAATCTTAAAAAAAATTTTATTATGTGAAGTAAGATGAGAATTTCAGATACCGACTTTAAAAATTGTAGGAAGAAGAAAAGTTACACCATTTGTAAGTTTGCGGTTATTTGCAGAAAAAATACAGTGTGTACAGGTGCTGTCACCATGCTACAAAACATTGCTCTTATTTATGAGCTAGGTCCCTAATTATTAATTTCATAACTTAGGAATAATATTTTCCTTAACTTCTTTCTTTCTCTGTTAATTGTCTTTTTAAGAACTCACTGAGAGTAGTATTTCTATTATCCTGCTTACCTCTTAACCCTGTGAAACCCAGCAGGATCTAGGTGATGTCTCTCCAGCAAGTTTCCTTTAGTACGGCAGGTGCCTTGGGGTTTCAGCTATTGTATGGCACAAGCTATGTCATGAAATTAAGAGGCCATTTAATAGTGTGCTCTATTACCAAAGATAGTTTCTGCACTATGGACCATATGTCCTAAGCAAGGAGGAAATTTTTTAAGATTTAATGTTAGCCTTAGAGATTTTGCGTAGGTTAAGAATTTTAAGCTGTGGTTTTTCATAGTAACTTGAATGGTTGCTATAGGTCTTTTACTTGAATAGAAGATAACCCTGGCTTAATGCTTTGTTGGTTCTATCTTCTGATGCTTTTGGTTATCAGAGTATCATCTGCTAACCTCTGAGCATTCCTAAGACCATTTCAGGGAATTGTGAGGTTAAAACTATTTCCATTATGGTACTGAGATGGCTGTTCTCATGATTTCTCAGTCCTCACACAGGAACAGTATATCATAACCAGTGCACAAGAGTAATCATTCCGTCTTTCTCCTCCTCACTCCTCTTCTTCCCTCCATTTCTCTTCTGACTAATGGACTGTCTATATACTTCTATTTCCTCATCTGTAAAATGGTGGTAATAATAGTACTCACCTCATTGGATCGTTTGGAAGATTCGGTGTATTAACATATGTACTGTGTGAGGTGCTTAGAACAGGACTGGCACATAGTGAATGCTCATAGTACATCTTAATTAATGTTAACTATTATTGTTTATATTATAGTTTTATTCTCATTTTAGTTCTAGGCTTAAACTGTCTATGGTTTTTATACATTTAATTTTTCAATTTAAATAAATATTTTCTGAGCTAATGAAATAATGAGGGCCTAGAGAAGGATTTGTTCTTTTTAGGAAAACAGTTGAATGGTTGAGAAGATAAGTTACTTTAAAAAATGCTAATAGGGGGGGCGCCTGGATGGCTCAGTGGGTTAAAGCCTCTGCCTTAGGCTCAGGTCATGATCCCAGGGTGCCGGGATTGAGTCCCACATTGGGCTCTCCGCTCAGCAGGGAGCCTGCTTCCTCCTTTCTCTCTGCCTGCCTCTCTGCCTACTTGTGATCTCTGTCAAATAAATAAATAAAATCTTTAAAAAAAAAATTGCTAATAGAGGGACGCCTGGGTGGCTCAGTTGGTTAAGCAGCTGCCTTCGGCTCAGGTCATGATCCCAGCGTCCTGGGATCGAGTCCCACATCGGTCTTCTTGCTCATCGGGGAGCCTGCTTCTCCCTCTGCCTCTGCCTGCCATTCTGTCTGCCTGTGCTTGCTCTCTCTCCCTCTCTCTCTCTCTGACAAAGAAATAAATAAAATCTTTAAAAAAAAAAATACTAATAGGGAGGGGCGCCTGGGTGGCTCAGTGGATTAAAGCCTCTGCCTTCAGCTCAGGTCATGATCTTAGGGTCCTGGGATCGAGCCCCGCATGGGGCTCTCTGCTCAGCGAGGAGCCTGCTTCCCTTTCTCTCTCTACCTGCCTCTCTGCCTACTTGTGATCTCTGTCAAATAAATAAAATCTTAAAAAAAAAAAAAAATGCTAATGGGGTGCCTGAGTGGCTCAGTCTCTTGGTCTCTGCTCAGGTCTTGATATCAGAGTTGTGAGTTTAAGTACCTACCATGTTGGGCTCCACACTGGGCATGGGGCCTACTTAAAAAAAAAAGAAAAGAAAATGCCAATAGAATTTAGGTGAGTGAAATGTAAACAATTGGAAAAATTAAAGTCTGATGGTTTTTATACTCAAGATTACTTTCCAAATAATCAGAACTCAAAAATAAGGCCTTGGGGGCTTTATAAAATGGTTGGTGAGTTACTATAATTTATAATGTTTTTAAATTAAAGTATTTAAAACGTATTTGAATTTTAGATGACTTTTTTTTTTAATTTATTTATTTGACAGACAATGAGAGAAGTAAAGAGCACAAGCAGGGGAAGCAGGCTCCCTGCTCAGCAGGAAGCCCAATGTGGGACTAGATCCCAGGATCCTGCATGACCTGAGCCAAAGGCAGAGGCTTAACCCACTGAGCCTCCCAGGTGCCCCTAGATGATTTCTTTTTAAAACCAACTTTTTCAGTTAATATATCAACTCTTGTTTCCCATTGCATTGGAAAAGTGGACCTTTATTCTAGTAGAACAGCAGGTCAAAAGGTTAAAAAGATTGCTTATAAGAATTGTGTGTGTAATTATGTTTGAAAGACTTAGGTGCAAAAACAGATGCATGGAAGTGCAGCAATCATTAGTGTGCTCTAATGATAGCGTTATAACAAAGAGTTATCTAATTTGCCTCACAGATTTGTTGACAGTAGATTATATCACATGAGTAATTGAATCCTTTCCTTAAGGATTTATAGTAATCAGAGTTCTTGTTTGAGGTATTGTCTCAACCCTGGAGCTCTAACCCTGCCCCTTTTGTATTTATAGGGATCGGGTTGTAGCAGTTTTTGTGCAGGGTCCTGCATGGCAGTTCAAAGGTTGGCCATGGCTTTTGCCTGATGGATCACCAGTTGACATATTTGCTAAAAGTAAGATTCTCTTTATTTTTACTGCTTATCCAATATAGAAATGGTCTTGCTTTTATATAAGAGAAAGCCATCTATGGCTATGCATATATGATGTGTATATCAGATGATTCCATTAACATATGCTAATTTTTAAACACCAGTGAAATATTTTTAAAGTCTTTTTTTGAACATTAATATTTTTGTGTGTACTTATATTTAAAAGTGAATTATCTCCCATTCCCTATATTAGGTTACTTAAAAAGCATTAATATTTTTTACATCCACACATTTTTATTAAAATTGATGACCAGTTTTAAATGGGTTGACTTTTGCTGAACATGTGTAGCTAGAACTTAAAGTACCATATGACTTTTACCAGCTATTTCCATTGTCTGGAATGATTGTAACATGTTTGGCTTTTTCTTTTCATTCAAGTCTAAGTTCAAGTATTTTCTCCTGAGAATCCTTCTCTGGCCAACCTGGAAACAGCCATTACTTCCTTCCAGTTACTCTTCAAGCTCTTCTATTTTCATGATAGTACTTACTGTTGTTTGATATTATTTATATCTTTATTGTAAGTCTTCCCTGTCTGTAAGGCCAAGTTCCTTGGTGGGAGGAGCCTTTTCTGCCTTGTTTACCCTTGAATTGTTACCACAGAAGAGTGCCTGGCACAGGGGAAGCATTCAGTAGATATCTGTTAAATGAATGTTTCATGTGGCTTGTATCTATTGGTATATTGGTATAGTTAGATACACTAAACATAGACTAATTTAGTCTGGTTTTTACAGTAGAGATACTCCAATTATTATTTAATTCGAGTACCCAGTTAAGTTAGTACCATAGTAAAATTGTTTTTTAAAAAGCATTCTTACAAAACAAGTATGTTTATTAGAAATGACAACTTCAGTTATTATGAATATAGATTGTACTACTGTAAAATCCAGCCTTTATTTTTTTTTTTAAAGCAACTTCAGCTTGCTTAGTGGTTACCACCATTCTTCCAAGATGGAAACTCCCCAAGCTTGGAAGTTTTAATCATTTATTCTCCTCTACTTTAATTCATTTTAGAAAGTGATTCTAATATAACTAATATTGTGATAGATTTTTATGTTATTCCTGAAAGTTGAATAACGCGCAGTGTTAAGTAGAAAGTTAAAGATAGAGAAAATGGGAATTTTAATAAAAGTAAAATGTCCATGAACACGAATGTCTTACCTACTTGTTTGCCTTTTTGAATAGTGTTGTAACAAGAAAAAAAAAATTATACTGTCTTCAAGATGTAAATGCTGCCTAAATTTCATTCAGAATGTAATGATATTGTAATTGTTTTGTCCAGATTCGTAGTCTTAACGAAATTTAGATGAGACTTTTTTATACAGTTACAAATTATGATTTTCTTCCATAAATTATTCTTCGTTTTCAGTTTTCCTTCCTTAATGAATACTTTGTATCAGCATTTAAAATGAAAGTACTCTTGCCCCTTCCATCTTAAAACCCTTTCTCTTGACCTCAACTCTAGCTCCTCTTTTTCCTTTTATGAAACTTTTGAATTGTCTATACTAATTTTTTATTCAGTTCTTAGTTTGCTGTTTGGCTCTCTTGCTCTTTACTAAACTATTTTCACCAAACTTATCAGGGACCCAAATATTAGATACTTTTGACCTCCTTATCAGAATTTGATTCTCTTCACTCATTTCTTCTTTTTTAAAATGTTCTTTTCCAGGGATTTGTTACTCTTTCTCAGATTCTCCAGCTACTTGTCCTCTGGCTTTCAGCTACCTGTTTATGTCTTGTTTCTCTTCTCCTTTATTATAGATAACTCTCTCAAGGAGGTCTGATAGCTTTCAATTACCATTTATAACCCTCCCCTTATTCTAAGTTAAGTCTCTAGCCTTATATTCTGGGTCTGTATATCTCACTAATTATGAGATATCTCCTCTATGAGGTCCTGTTGGTACATCACACTCAACCTGTTCCAAAGGAATTGTCTTGTACTCTTCCTCATTCCCAGACTGTTTCTTTTTCTCAGTTAGTTTTCTTTTGTAACTTACCTTAGCCAGAAATTTAGGAATATATTGTCTCTTAGCTTAGAATATATTGTCTCCTTGCTTTTTAAAACTCTGCCTTTTCTAGGTTTACACCCTTTCCCCTATAACACACATAGAAAATACTAGCATCTCTATAGCCGGGGGGAAACTGAAGGTATTTAGGAGCACCTGTATGGGCCCTGGTAAAAAAAAACCAAACCTCTGTTTTCTTCACAATGCACAATAGAATACAAAATTTTAGAAAAGATATTAAGTATTGATTTGTATAAAAATGCTAGTATCCATTGAGATTTTTTTTCATGAGTAATCTATTGATGTAATCTATAAGTACTGTATAATTATGTTGCCCCTCTGTTATCTGACATGCCATCATTGTGCTACTAAATATTATTCAGGAGCATTGTCTATTTTCTTTACTTCCTTGTTTCTGTAAAATAATGTCAACGAGATTCATGCAGTTTGCCAAAAATGAACAATTCTGAATTGTGTGAAGCATTTTGCTTTATTATTCATTGTGCCACCAGATAAATGACTGGCTTCCTTATAAAAGAACTTCATTTGTTCCATTTTTTGCTGAGTATTAAAAACTAAAAGTCTTTCTCTGAATAAGAAAGATGTTTTATAGTGATGTCGTAGTGTAAGTTTGCTTGCCACCATTCCTTCATACTAATAAAATACCTTGTATGATTAGAGAAACCTTATGCTTTCTCATTTGTGATTTAAACTTTTTGGACTTTCATGTTTCACCTTACATTTTAAAAGTTGTCTATTCTAGTGGAAAAATACATACTATATAAACTAAATCTATTAAAATTAGGGAGTAGGGGATGGTAGGCTTTTATAACTTTAGATAAATCATTTTTTAAAAATATAACATATATTTTTAAGAATGATGGGCATCTGGGTGGTTCAGTCAGTTAACGGTCTGCCTTTGGCTCAGGTCATTTTCCTGGAGTTCTGGAACTGAGCCGTGCGTCGAGCTCCTTCCTGAGCAGGGAGTCTATACTTGTTCCTCTCCCTCTGCCTCCTCCCTGGCTTGTGCACTTGTATTCTCTCTCTCAGCTAAATAAATAAAATCTTCAAAAAAAAGAATGATTTAGGGGCTCATTTGGTTGGTTGAGCTTCTAACTCTTGATGTCGGCCCAGTTCATCTCAGGGTCGTGAGATTGAGACCTGTATCAGGCTCCTCACTCACCTGGGAGTCTGCTTAAGATTTTCTCTCTTCTTCTGCCCCGGTACCTCCCATCTCTAAATAAATAGATAGATAGATGAATATTTTTTAAAAGAATGATTTAAAGTATATCCTATTGCGAAAATTAAAGTGAAACATGTAGTAAGGAAAATAGGAAGTATTGAAATGTTGACTTTATTTAATTTAAAAATTTTAAAAATTAAGATTTTTTATACTTGTAAATATTTTGAAAATGGGTTTTCTGAAGCTATAATATATAGCCCTTTTAATGATTCAGTTTAAATTCATTACATTGGATTACATTACATTACATTGAATTAAATTCAAAATGAATAATGTGTCGAGGGGATCTTTAATTATATAAAAGCATAATAATTCAGAAGTAATGTTTATATGTTTCTTTTTGTGCGCACAAATGATTCATTTTGGATTTCCATCAAGAATTATACTTTGGGGGCACCTGAGTGGCTCAGTTGGTTAAGCTCTATCTGCCTTCAGCTCAGGTCATGATTCCAGGGTCCTGGGATCAAGCCCTGCTTTGACCTCTCTGCTTAGCAGAGAGTCTGCTTCTCCTTCGCCCTCTGCCTGACGCTCTGCCTAACGCTCTGCCTACTTGTGATCTCTCTCACTCTCTGTCAAATAAATAAATAAACTCTTTTTTTTTTTTTTAATAAAATCTTAAAACAAACAAAAAAGAATTTGATTCATTGTTAGCATCGAAAGCTAGTAGGCCAACAAGCAGTGTGGAACAAATAATCTATAAAGTAGCTATCAAAAAAATTGTAACAAAGTCTATCATTTGTATCTTTAGAGACTCTAATATTAGATGTTGATGATAGTAACAATTATATCTTACATGTTAGAAAAAAGGTAAATTGAAAGGAAAGCTAAACATCTTACATGTGTATGTGTAAAACAAAAACTTCACTGCTGGGGCGCCTGGGTGGCTCAGTGGGTTAAGCCGCTGCCTTCGGCTCGGGTCATGATCTCAGGGTCCTGGTATCGAGCCCCGCATCGGGCTCTTTGCTCAGCAGGGAGCCTGCTTCCCTCTCTCTCTCTGTCTCTGCCTGCCTCTCTGTCTACTTGTGATCTCTCTCTGTCAAATAAATAAATAAAATCTTTAAAAAACAAACAAACAAACAAAAAAAACTTCACTGCTGTTAAACTGATTGCACAGTAACCTAGCCGGGATGGTTCAACTGGATGATCAGGGAGAGAGAAAGATTGAAAGTAATACTTACTTGATGGTCCATTTGTTAACCCTTCTGCAATATACACTACTTGGGAGGTTTTGCCCTAGAGTCTTTTATTTGCCCAACACCCAGAATTAACTATTAAAAATGAAAACCAGATAATTTCACCTTCTAACTGTAAACTTTCTAGTGGCTTACTATCATATATGGAATAAATTCATATTTTTAGCCATAGCCAAATTCTACGTATAGGACATTGCCTGCAAAAGAAGTTATACTTGTTTATAGAGTATGCCAAGCTTGCTTTCATTTTAGAATCTCTACCAGCTGTTCTGTAAGCCTGAAATCCTCTTAAGGGCCTTTGCTAGACTCACTCTTTATATCCTTTAATTATCTACTTCTAGGTAACGTTCTCACAAGGCTTTCCAAATTTTTCTTTTTCCCTTTTCATAATTTCTTACCAAGTTCCATTAGTTCTTACTCCTTAATTATTTCTTGAATCTTTTTCTTGCCAGACATATATCTTCTCCCAAGTTGAGCAAATGTCTTCTCTAGGTTACTAAATTATATCAGTAGTTGCTGCTAAACACTTGGAAGTGATTTCTCCCTATCTCTTAGATAAAAGTCCATGCCCCTTAATATGACCTACATGGCCAAAATTGTTCTGAATCTGTGGTCTTACCTTTTACTCATTTTTTACATTACTTTGTATGATGGAGTTCCGTTAATTTTCTTTAGTTCCTAGCTGAAACCATTTTCTCCTTGAGCATGTTCTTGGCTACCTTGGTCACTTTTGTTATGTGTTTGCCTAATCTTACTCAACCTGTAGATCTTAGATTAGAGATCATTACCTGTGTAAGCCGTCTCTGAATTCCATGGTCTGGGCAAGGTACTCTTTTATGTTTCTGTGATATACTACACCTTTATCATACTGTGTTTGAATAGGTGCTTCTTCTTAACTTTCATCAGACCATATGCATTTTATCCTGCCATATTCCTCATTTCAGTCCCAGTGGCTGGCATGTATAAACCCTCAATAGATAGTTGTTGAATTGAATGTTTTTGAGGATGTCACAGTACTTATTAGCATCTATTTCAAAGATCACTTTGGTTATAATGTAGCTTCATTTGGTTGAAGAAAGTTTGATTTTTTTTTTTAAAGTTTTTTGTTTTGTTTAGTTTTTTGGTTAATGTCTGTATTGGCTATTTTTATTCTTTTGTAAAATATTTTTATAATTTTGATTGCAGTTTGAATAAAAAATATTATTTCCCCCCATATAGTTAAAGCCTTCCATCTCAAATATGATGAAGTTCGTCTAGATCCAAACGTTCAGAAATGGGATGTAACAGTATTAGAACTCAGCTATCACAAACGTCATTTGGATAGACCAGTTTTCTTACGGTTCTGGGAAACATTGGATAGGTAATTCTGATCCTAAAATGCACTTATTTCTGCTTTATTTTAGTAATTTTCCTTTCTCCTCAGTTAGATTTTAAGTTCATTAAAGTATGTGAACATATCCCTCAATTCCCCTTTTCAAACATTGTCTGATTTGATGCTGATCTCCAGTAGATAATTAACAAATATCTTTGTTATATTGATTTTAGAAACAGATGGAGAAAGGGTATATACCTGGATAGAAAGAACAGTAGATTCTGAGTCAGAAGACCTAGATTTTAGTTCTGATTTTGTGATCTGGCTCTAATGAACTGTGACCTTTCTGAACCTTGTTTTCTGTCTGTCCAAGGGGCTTAGATTAAGTGATCCCTATAGTTTTGTTTTTGTTTTTGTTTTGCATCAAAAGGTCACTGACTGGATTTGTTATGGGTAGCTTGTGAAAGGAATTCAGTTTTGAATTCATTTTAATTACTATTATACATAGGATTCTTAAAACCCTTTTAACAATCGGAAAATTTAAGAATAGCATATGATCACAATACCATTGAATTTATTCTCATTGAGGTGCTCTTTAAAATCTTCCTCTTTCTTGGTATAAGTCTCTTGCCGAATATTAAGGGTTTTCCAAAGTCAGAGATGACTGAAGTAACCCAGTGATTATAATTGATAATATATTAAAGAGAAACACTTGTTATTCTAGCCAGAAGCTCTGAGATTATAGAATTTAATAAGAAGAATGTTTCTTCTGGCTTCAGAAGTTCTTATTCTGTATTTCCAAAGTGTAGTATCAGGTTTCCAGTCTTTTAGAAAACAAAAAACATCCTGTTCACTTTTGAATTTTAAGTTTAAAAAAATGTTAACTTATTTTTACATGTAATATTCTAAAAATTCTACCATTCTTGTAATCATTATAACCTATTATAATATTATTTTTCAGGTACATGGTAAAGCATAAATCCCACTTGAGATTCTGAATTTTACTTGGTTTCTCTTTTTCTGGAGATCTGGATTAAGAAGCATGGATATACCTTGACCTAAAGACTGAGACTCAAGCTTTATGAATTTATCAAGAATTTACGAATGAAGAAGGTCACAGATCGATCTTTTTATAAGACCTTATTTGATGCTTTATGCTTCAAGGGGATGATGCTTGTCATCCATATAAGCAAACTTTTTGGCTTACAACTATTTTTTTAATATTAGCCTTCTAGACTGTAATGGAAATTGTATATTTTGATAGAAGTTTTTTCTCCATTGGTTAAATTAGCATTACTTAAAATTTGTTTCTTTAGAAAATAAATACAGGTTATAAAATGTGTGTATATTTAGAGGTTATAAGGCTCTCTAGGCCATCTTGCTTCTGATTTTTCATTGCTCTATAATTCCTTTTACTGAAAATACTGTGTTATGAATGGTATTAAATTTTAGTCTCTGAAACTTCGAAAACTAGCAAAGGGATGTGACTATTTTGAATGAATCAGAATGTCAACTGTATGTATACTATACCTATACTTATTCTTTACTTAAAAAAGAATAATGAAAAATCAAGAACAATTCTTCAGCTGGTTGAACTGTTCAGCCTTTTCAAGACTTCTTCACTTTTAAAATGAATACATTTAATGAATGTACATTCTTCTCACTGACTTTGGTGATTTTAAAACTTAGAATGATATATTTCTATCTGTGATATCTTTCCACTTGAAAAATCTCAAAACACAGATTAAAAACCTGATAGGCTATAGTACTTTTTATTTTGGAAGACAGAGTATGTTTGGGGGAAGGAAATGTATTAGTTCTACTGCAATGTAACTTTAACCTTCTTATCTTTTCTCATAAGTTCACCTTTGATTCTTACGTTATATGTATGACATAGGATTTTGAGTCTTCTATTTCTAGGCATGTTGATCTTGGAGTTCTTATCTTCCATTATCCCTAAATATTGATAAACTCCCCCAGACACCAAAGAACACATTTGCTTAATTGTCTGAACAGAAACAAGATAAAAACACTGGTATTTTTATGTGTGTGTTCAATATCGTATAAAATATAAAACCTATATTTTAACTTAGTAAAATATTTTACTACTTCTCTACTTTAGAGTATTGCATCCAAGATACAAATGAATGAGCATTTTCCTTGAGTCTTGATTTCACCGTTTATTACCTAAAATCAACTTGGAACCTCTACTCCCTTAAAGAGTTTTTGCCGTGAGAATCCTTGCTGATCATTCATCTAGTGTCATTTTTTTCCTCCATCCCCCCCCCCCCGCAGTGATCTCTCTTAGGGGTGTGTGTGTGTGTGTGTGTGTGTGTATGTGTGTGTATATGTGTGTGTATATATATATATATATATATATATGACAAAATATATATATATATTTTTGGTAAACATCTAGCTCCTTCTTATGTTATGCTGACATTACCTAGCCTCATTTTGAAATGTAATGCTATCATATAAATGAGAAGCACTTATTATTTATTTTTAAAGTAGTCACCAAAGTCCATACCAATAGTAAATAGAAAAAGTATTTATTCATGTGGAATAAATGGTTCTTAAGAAAAGCAGTCAACATTTTAAATTATTAGATTGTAGAATATTTATAAGGTTTGAACAGATTCTACCCCCTTCCTTCCTTTCTTTGCATCCTCTCTTGAAAACAAAAGAGAACTCAAATTTGTTCACTTTAGAATTTCTCAGCATATAAACTGTTTTCAAAATAAATTATGTATTGTATAAACATTCTCCATGATGAAATCGTCGAGGACTGGAATCTGTGATATTTTAATGTAAGATTACTTAAGACTACTACAAGTGGACAAGAACTACCTTTCTATAAAGATTTTTAGTATTTATACTTATGTCATATATGAAATTTACTTGATACAGAGTGTGGTTAAAATTGGGAACATCTACTTTGAACAGGGTTTATTTTTCTATCTTGAATTTGCCTTACGTATATTCAAAGGCTTCTGGAAATACTATAAAGGAACATTAGGGAAAGTACAAATATGCTACGCTATTATGTATTTTAAAATCAGTCCCTTAGTATGTGCTTATTTTCTTTTTCTTTTTTTTCAGTAGTTCAGTCCCTTCTTTAGGTCCATGTAATTGATTTAATAGCCATTAATTCCAAAAACAATTTTCTTTTCAGCCAGTCATTATCTCCTGATTCCTGAGTCCTACAGCAGCACCTATAACTGTGCCTTGCACATAGTAGGCATTCAGTAAATAATTTATATGCATGAATTAATGATCTTCTCCATGTGACTGATTTATTACAAAAAGTACTTTGACTAGATGTTGGAATTTGAAAGTATGGAATTACAGGGAATGAAGAGATAACACACAGATATTTTCATGGAAATGAGGTATGCATTAGTAAACCTGACTTATCCATAAGTTACTGTTAACTGGAGACACCCTTGTCTTGTCCCCCTGGTAAAAGAAAAATTTCATTTCTTTATTCGTAGGATCCTCTTCTGAGTCAGATAACATTAAGAAGCTTCTAGGTTTCAGTCAGTAACTCTCAGCCCTGACAACACATTGGAATCATTTGGGGGACTATTTAAATACACTATTGCCTGATTCCTGATTCTGATTTAATTTGGGCTGAGACCTGATCATCAGTATTTTTAAGAAGTTCTCAAGGTAATTTCATGTTCAGAAAGGATTGAGAATCACTGATTTAATTTGTTACTGAAAACAATACCAGTATTAAAATGTGTTTCTTCCTCACCTCTCCTCTCTTTTTTTTTTCTTTCCTGCTTTTTTTTTCTTTTGATGACCAACCTTTACCTAGACCATCCCCCTTATTGGGTATTGGCCTATAGTTCCACATGACAAATTCAAGTCTTATTTATTTAATATAGGAGTATTTTGCTGTTTAATATTTAAACAATGTTTAATATATTTCATTATAAACTAGTATTACAGTTTATGATTTGTTTCCCATGTGTCCATATCTTTTACTAACTTTTATTTTAATATCAGCATGACAACAATCCATACAGAAATAACTAGTTCATAATGAGGAAAATTTCATAATTTTTAAGGTAGAAGACAGTAAAGTATTAATTTCTTATCTGCCATGCAGAATTAGAGTTTGCTTATGAAAGGGAAGAGGCATACTTTTTATTTGGTCTGCACAGAAAAGTAAAAGTAAATTATTCATTTAAATAAAATTCATTATCAAACACTGAAGGAAATATTTTTCCTAAATAAAAATTTTTGTGACTCCTAACAAAGTTAAAGCGATATACATTCTTTTTTGGAGGGTGGGGAGGGGGTATTTAGTTGGCATATTTCTTACTGTATAACAATTCCATTTTATGATAATAACAATAGAAATGATGATACAATATACATATGTGGCCAAAATAAAGTGCCACTTTGTCAGATAATGATTATCTGAGTCTTAGTTGTTGAACTAATTAGTTTATGAAGCTTTTGAGACCAACAGTGCATTTTATAAATATTAGAAAAGCTAATAAAAATTAAAACGTGAAAAATAAATTTAATTACATGAGCCTTAATATTACTTGACTGGATTTTTATTCACTTGGATTTGATATGCAATTGGCTACCCTAACCAAAGTAAATTAACTTTATAAAAGGACAAATGACTGAATTTGACTTAAATTAGAATTGGATTAGGAATTTGAACTGCCGTGTCCTATATATTCTGGCTTGTCCATTGCCACATTTGGCTGTAGTGGTGCCATCATGGTTTCTATATTAATATATTGGAATAATTAGAGAAAAATTGAAAATGTATAATAGGTGTATAAAGAATTATATTTAGTAAATGCATAATAGGCAATAATACATTCAGGTCATTGATCTGTTTGGGCTTATATGTATTATTTTAGGTAGTGTTTATTAGAGTATCTTGGGAGTTATAAGTGTATGCCATTTAAATGAGTAAAGCTAATGAAATTTTATTGCCAAAATTCAAAAAGTGGGGTGATAGTATGTCACATTTAAGTGAATGATGTACTGAGAATTTTGTTTGCTACTGAATTCCCTTTCTATCCAGTTTAAGTTTACTAAAATTTACTTAACCTCCAAGTGTGATTATAGTGGTTTATATATAATGTAGTTCATTTACATGGTGTAGGCATTATAAATGATTGTTTACCCACCAATTTGTATTATTTCTCAAGCAAAGTGTTTCTTGAATGGAGCTTAAATTTGGGCCATGTGACCTGATAAAATGTTCTAGTCATTCTTACGCCATTTCAGTGAATTTTTAAATTTCAAGTTTAATTGTAAATAAAACAGTTTGTAAGACTTTACTTCAACAGTCTTGGGGACGTTCCCACTCCCAGTTCTACTCGGCTTTTTGTCCCTCCAACCAAAAAATCACATCCAACCAAGAACACAGAAACTGTATTTTGGGGTAGGATATGGATGATGACCATCTTTCCATAAAAGGATTATGAGATTTTTTCAGGCGTAGTATTTCTCTGTTTTGAAAATAAATGCAGTGTGAGTTTTCACTTTGAAAACTAATGAGTTAAGTACATTTATAGTTTTCTGTTAATGAGTTAAATAATGTAGAGAATCATAGTTCTTCCTAAAAGTAACAAGCCACATGCTCTGTTGAACTTGGTTTGCTTATAGTCCAATTTACTATGTCCTTTATTGTTTTAATAGAATTAAGAATGTATCTGGTAAATTACATCGTTTTTACAGTTTGAGTACCCTGATTTTAACATTTTATAGTTTGAAAACAAACTGTACTCCGCATATAATCAGATCATTAACAGCATCATCATATTGGTTGTGCCAGTGATAACGTGTGACTCTTTTGCAACAAAATTTCTTTAATGAAGAGTTTAATGGACCCTATTCAAACTTAATTTCCATTCCGTTCGTAAGTGCCCACTTAATATGTGTTTTATCTTGCTCTTCTATTCATTTGATCATCTGCTCTTAGGCAAATGAGCAGTCACATAACTAAAATAGATATAGCATGATTTGTAAATGCTGTTGGACTTTTTTAAGGCTCAAAGGTGCTAGTATATATATATAACAGCACATTGCCAAATAAGCTTGTTTCTCCTCATTTTCTAAAACACTTCCCATTTTTATTTAATCATGTAATCATCAGGTATTTATGGTAGCTTGGAAGACTTCCTCTTAATTTTCTTCAGTGACCATAAAAAAACATAAAAGTAGCTCTAGAGAAGCCTGTGTTGAGTCTGTCATAATTATTTGTAGATACTTTATCACAGAATTATAGTTTATAATTCATCATCCAAAGAATGTTGATTTATATTACATAACTAATGTAAATAGGAATCAGTATAAGAAAGAAGAAATTAGAGATTCGATTAATCACACTTGAATATTTTTTTGGACTGTACTTCATTTACCAAAAATTTCCAAATGGAAACACATTGGGTGGTTATACAACATTCACTGTGATAAAATGTGGTAATTTACACTCACAGAAGAACTACATTCATGGAGTTTACCATATTAAAAATGTAAATATGGTAATGGCATCAATTTCTCTTTAAAATTATTAAATAATATACATATGTTTTTCTTTAAAATGGAATAGTTTGAAATTTTATCAGGTTGGTGTGTGTAATGGTTGGGGGGGATCAAATGAGCTTGCTCATGGCTTATTCAATTATTTTACCCAGTTGGGCATCACTAAAGTTTATGGTCATTTTGACTGTAAGACAGTTTTAAAGTATTATATTCTTACTTATGTGTTTATTTCATAATACACCACTGAGTACAAAAAAGGAGGTGTAAGGGTTACTGATGATGAAATAAACTGGGGGGCATTAATGGTAGTTGATGTAGGAATTGGAGGAGAAAGAAGAAATTATATGGGAACTCTAACTCATTGGGAAAAAATGTAGTAGGATTTAGGCAGTGATGTATCTTTTGGGGGGTTAGACATAAACGTAAGTGAAACTAGACAAACCTGTGGTATGATTTTTCTCCAGCAGCATGTAGTGGCTTGATTGCAGGTGTAGAAAAAGCAAATAGATTTTCAGCTGTTGATGGAAGTAGAAGCAGGCCAGGGAGGTGAAGTTAAGTAACAAGTGATTATAGTGCCAGAACATGGAATCTCAGCTCTTCAAGGAATAAACAATGTAAAGGAGGTCATGGATTGTATGAAAGTGGGGCTGACTCATGAACCGAAAACTTCAGTGAAATGAAGCTAAAAGTAAGCCTGAAAGAGAAAAGAGGATGGGAATATGAGATCAAGAGTTCAGAGGTGATATGATATTCATAAGGAAAAGTCAAGACCTTGGAAGTGACTG